TTTTAAAAGAATCTGGCGGGAAACTAAAAAAATCAATACAAAAACTGCAAATGTAAATCATGCCTTTGATAAAACTAAGAACTCAAGCGGACGAAGGTGACGTATAATTAGCAAGTAGGGAGATAGGAATCATGAAGATAAGGGAAAGAAAATCTCCAATCTCATAAAGTCTTCACTTGATACTCCATGAACTTACCAGTATTGTAAAATTATCGCACTGTACCTCTTCTATCTACATTTCCTTTTTCCATTAATACATCGTTTTTACTTAAAATTAAAATTAAAAAAAAACCATTGCGAGTGTTGGGACCAAACATATAAGTAATCAAAATTGTTAGCTTTTAAATACCTGTAAACAATTTATGTTTACACATTGGTACCGCTATAATAAAAAAAAGTTGAACTAAACCAAAACCGAGTTTCTAAATACAGAGTTTCTACATATTGATAATTTGATTACAACACGCGGACCCAGTACCAAGAGTAATACGACACTAGTGCAAGCAATTCATTGAGCGTCATTCGATTTGTTCTTTTGACGGCGGCGATGGGTAGCAACCAATGTATATTGTTATTACCGAATTGCAAGAAAATAGTTTTGTTTCGAAATTATAGTATTGTATTGTTAAAAATATTAGAAAATACAGACTTTTAGTACTTACCGATGGAAGGAAATCACTCCTGGAGTATTTTTTAAACTTTGGCTTCTTACGCGACATAATATAAGCCATTATATTACGTATTTCCATTATTTCCCAAAATAATCATGTATCACATTTGAACGACGACTGACGCGCTGTTGATATTCATATGCCCGTCTAGTGATAAGCTAGGTAACGCGGACCCCGCCCACTAACCAGTCTATTACCAGTATTTATGTGGTCTGTGTTTGGTATTCTGCTAAAAATTAAGAGTACTGACTTATCAGTGACTAGCCATAGTGCTCTTACTTTTTATTCTTTCAATGACATTTTACAAATAAGCTTAGAATAATAACGCATAGAAACCTAGCCCGCACACGCTAAGTGAGGCAAATTGAAGCGCTCCCAAAGTGCCTACACGAGCGGGCGGGCCTTCAGTGCTCAAGGTCAACTTGCACCGCGAACAGCTCAAGAATTTTAGCTAAAAATGACGAAATGTGCGGTAAATGAGTGTAAAAATACGTCAGACAAACATAAAATAGATACTAACATCACATTCCACAAGGAAGTAACGCGTTTCAACTTGTATTTTTATATAAATATTCACTAAAACCGAAAATTAACCTACTACTAAAACTAGCCTACAAGAATTTGATTTTTGCCTCACTTGTGACAGTTCGTTTGATATGAAACTATCATTCTATGCGTTATTATTCTAAGCAAATAAGATGTTTTTTTTATAATATCAAGAGACGGAACGAGCAAATCGTGCGCCTGATGGTAAGCTACACGTCTGTCCGTACCAGTTGCAGTGCCATTCAGAGCTTAAGCAAAGACCTGACCGTTAAGTGAAGACGTAGCCTTTGTGGCACAGCACCGACAGGATCGAACTTATAGCTCCGTTGAGCAACACCAACGACGTTGCTGTACCTGTCGCGACTACATTACTCCACGAAGTCTGAGGAGATAGTGGAGTACATCAGGTTAAAAGCCAAATACACCCTGAGGGTAGAGCGGTTGGAGTCCCGCCACAACGTAAATTTTAATTCGTTTGTGCTGAGAGTGCCGACCGAACATCTGTCGGCCTTCATGAAGGAAGACTTTTGGCCGAAGGGTGTCATATATCGGCGATTCCGTGGCCGGTTACCTGACACCAGATTGCGCCATACACGTCGCCGGCAAGTGCAATACGTGTACATTAGTTGTTTATTTTATTTATATTGTATGTATGTTGTCCTTAAGGTATATAGTATATGGGTCATGTGGCCTGAAATAAATGTATAAATAAATAAATAAATAAAAAATAAAAAGATCTGATGGGCACTGCCACTGCGACCGTCACTCTGAGACATACGTTGACAATCCCATGTGCCAGTAATTTCATCAGGACCCTTACCCTTCCAAACGGAAACACAGTAATGCTGACATTACTTGGCGGCAGAAATAGGCAGTACTTCCCTGGACAAACTCTTCCACAAGAAGCTGTACTGCTTCTAAAAAGGTTCTCCCAAACTTCATAAAAGTTTATCGGGAGAGTTTGGTTGCTACGCTTAATATTACAGTCACATAAACATTACATTCAGTTACCAACATTACAGTTTTTTAATATTTACCTACATTGTATCTAATAAATATTTCTTATTTCATTTTTAACAGACTACGGTTTTTTAAATGTGACGGAAAACAGTTAAGCTTTGTTGGAATTAAATAGTCCTTAGATCTTTTACCATATACGTTATTTGTTTTAAAAGTTTCATAGCTGCCCATCGTTGCTTGTCTTCTTGGATAATTATAATTTTTAGATACTTTACATTCATGACTTGGATATTCTTGTAATATTTGTAACATTTTTTTTCTTTAATGGCAAGTCTATGGCACGTCAGTAGCCTAGTCTATGTATTTACTAACTATGTATTTGACATACAAAAACATTTAATTTGAAAAGTTATTCAGTTAGTCATTTTTATTTCGGGACTTAATCACGTATAAAAACATATTTTAATTACCTAGACGTTTCGGACGTATTGCAACGTCCATGGTCTCGAAAGGGCTGAAGAGGCAGGTGTCAGCGTCTTCTAGCAGTGCGAGCTTTTCTCGTCACGTTCTAGAACGTCATCATTATAGTAGAATCGTATCTGAAGCTATTGAAATTAAAAAGCACCGTAATTTCAACCGAGAAGACGGTATTAAGCTTGCATCGTCATGGGATCCACTTATCAGCAAATGTAGACGACATCGAGTATCGCCCAACAAGTCGCCGGTTGTCGTGAGTGTTGTGCGTCGGTTAAGTGAGAACTCTAGTGCACAAATAAATAATGAAGATCAAGTGCTACCGCCTCTTCAGTCCCTTCGAGATCATGGACGTTGCAATACGTCCGAAACGTCGGGGTAATTAAAGTATGTTTTTATACGTGATTAAGGCCCGAATTAGAAATCAAATAATGTGTGAAAAACGTGAAAGTTTCTATCAAAGTATTGCTGGTTAAACGAGATAAAAATTAAGATATGCATAGCAATTTCCGTGCTAGTTTTTAGTAAGGCAACGTCGATCGTTAGTGTTTGAACGAATAAATGCAATCACTGTTATACGAGTAGCACTGACATTCTATTGAGTTTCAACTGCCATTGCAATTAGATTTGAGCAGAATAACAAATCGATGTCTTACTTTCTACTCGTATCGTTATAAACAGTGGTTATGGACATGGTAAATCTTCCATTTATTTTAAATTTAGTATCAAGGGTGTTAATTTGAATGCTTTACTTTAAGAATAGGTAAAAGCCAGTGTGTAAATGTGAAGGAAATATGATGTGAAATCAGCCTGCAAAATTTGTATATACAATCAATTTTTTGCATTTCAAAAACTTTGTGCTTTGAGATACGAGTTTGAGAAAGTGAGACGACGAAATATAGTCTCAGTAGGGTCTTGATGGAATTGCAATGACCAGTGCTTTCAAGAAAATTAGTAGACGGGGTATTGTAACGGAATTATAATTGAATTCTACTCGTGGAGAGATCGCTCAATCAATGTTGACTTGACACACTAATGATTAACGTGACGTCAGAAACTTTTCAGACGTGCGGTGACCCGTTTTGGCCGGGATATTTGATGGATATAGGGATGGTATTTATGGGGAGTCACCAGAGGAAAAGCGGGAAAAACTGTTTTACTACATCAAGTTTATTATTATTAAATATCGAACTTATAAAAAATATACGACAATTTTTAAATTGCTCAGCGGTTTAAAGAACGAAAGAAAAAGAAACGTTTATTCATCAAATTGAGTCACTATACACACTTAAATCTAATGCTTATTACTAAAACAACAAATGGCTGCGTGATTCCAAATTAGTAAGTTTGTATAGTGGCGCAAAAGAAGCAAAGGATACGACTCAGCAATATGTCTATCTCGGGGGAGACAGACGCTGGTTTTCAGTCGTTCCGGTTTCAGCGTCGGCTGAGACCTAAGGAAATGGTACATGCCCTGTGTATCCTCTGTTTTATGCCACACTACACATTTACAATACACGTATGATCCATGTGTACATTATTATATGAAAGCTAAGTAAATATACATAAATAAGTTAGAAGACAAGAGTTAGGAACTTCCGCATCAGAGCATATGTTGGTTTTCTATCAACAGATTTTTCATACGTTTTCTAAATGCGGATCTTGAGATTGGCTATTTAAGTGGAGGAGGCAGATTATTCCAGAATTAAGATGCCTGAAACCGGAAGCTACCCTCAAAAACTCTTGTTTTATGGAATGGCGTTACCAATAAAAAAACTATTAACTCTGCGCCACGCCTTCCTTCACCTCGTCAGTCGCCATCGGGCGCTTGTTGACGTCGGATCTGTATTATAATATTCTCGGCCTTTTCTTATTCTATTCATATTAATTTTCAGCGCGCGGGTTGCGGGACTCGCCCTAATTTAATAGCTTTTTCCGCTCTGAACACATTGTTTATGTAACGGACTGCCCTTGTATGTTAAAGACGACTAAGTGATTTTGGCTGAGCCGGAAAATGTAATTTGCGAAATTCATTAAAAATAAAAAATATACATTCCGGTGGCCTTCAGCAAACTACGTCGCCCTGCCCAAGGCGACGTAGTCGACTCAGCGCCGTTCTTCTTACAAAGTCTTTTTTAACCAAAAAATTTCCACATAGGTAATCATCTCGAGAAAGAAAAACAAGTCTTAATAAAAAAAACTCAACGCAAAAAAAATTGCAATGGCAGCTGACAAAACCCTTATCTTTTTAACTTAACCCTTTTAGCGGAATACCAAACGTACAAAGTCCTGCCACTGACACTATCGACATGCAAGTGAGATGATTTAAAATTAGCAGACTTGGGACCCTGGCACCATGACCAACTTAAAACAATTAGTATTCTACCGGTATCTAGCGAGTTTCCGATATAAGAATCAACAAACTTACTCTCGCTTCACATGCTACTCCGGTACACTGGAAGTAAAACAGAAATCTCTAAAACCTTCATAGTTAACAAATATAATAAACACAAAGAACATTTATTCCGAGTGTTTTATCGGGTGTCTTACTTAAATCACAAAACAATGAATATTAACTAAACTGCCTTCGTGGCCTAACGGTTACCATGCCGGACTGCCACGCAGAGATCCCAGGTTTGATTCCCGGGTCGGGAAAAATATTTTTATGGTCTACATTTATTTCTCTCGTGAGTTTGGGTGTAATTTGTGGTTGTCTATGTGTGTGTCCGGGGCACCCGCAACACAGGGTTCCCTAGTGCGTGGCTATGTTCAGTGTGTGCGTTATTATTATTATAAGCTGAAAACACTGCTGCACTGTTAAAAGCATCTCGGGGGAGAAATAAACGGTTACAACGTATTTTGAAATCTTTTTTGTATAATATCAAGTGACGGGACGAACAATTTGTGCGCCTGATGGTAAGCGACACGCCTGTCCATAACAGTTGCAGTGCCACTCAGAGCTTTAAATCGCAAAGATCTGAGGGGCACTGCCAGTGCGCCTGTCAGCTCAAGACGTATATTCGGAATACAGTAATGGTGACATTACTGTTTCGCGGCAGAAATAGGTAAGTAGTACTAAACAGAAGTTATAAGATCTATAAAGAAAATTTTATACTAAATACTATTTTAAAGCCGGGTTTCCGCTACACAAGTACTATATACTGCCCTCATAACGAAAAAAGGCACAACTATGCGTACTTTATACAGCAGTTGTACCTTTTTACGTTCCGAGGGTAGTATAGTAAGCATAATATTTAGTACACTTTAGTGCCATATAAATATTTATTAGGTACTATTCTTTAATGTCTTGAAACTAGAATGCTCATTCCTAAAACAAATAAAAAATATGTCACAATCGGTAAATCTATAAAAAAATCCGATTAGGACAGGACCGCACTTATCAACACGCTTCAGCATCAAGCGTCACGAACCCTGACATTCATCTGCGTCACAGACGAATGACCTGCTTTAAAATAGAATTAAAAACGACTCCCTGCAGGCACAAGGAAATTATTAGAAATTCCTTTGTAACTTTTTACAAGAAACTATTGATTCTGGAAAATGGAACCACTGTGTTCCTTTGTGTTGAACGATAGGGTGAACAGGATTTGAAGAGATTTTTTTATTTGTCAAGATTAAAAAAAGGGGTATGTGTATTTTGTCTTTGAAATGTACAAGATAGTGATTACCACAAGGCAATAAATACAGTAGAAGGTACTTACTTGAGCTCAGTCCGCTCAGTCCATTTTCGCTTTTGTTGGTGGTCTCAATCATATGGATCAAAACCTCGAAAAACGTACATAAATTATTTTGCTACTTTGGAACGCAAAAATGATAGCCCCACCTTATAACACATTATGGTGTTTTATGTCATTGTTAAGTCTTTTTTATTTAATTTTAATAAATTTTTAAATTTACTATTTATCGTAATATTTTTTGTTACAAGAATTGAAAGTAAACCTTATGCCGCTGCAATAAGGTCGCTTCTTTTTTAGAGAATCAAATAAACATCCGATTCCTCGAGATGTTTACTTGGTTCAGCTAATGACCGCTAAATGGCAGCACATTGATTAAAATTTCAATATAAAGTTTAAATTATATTAACAGCTCATTATTATATTAACAGTATTTGTATCAGTATTTCTTTTTAAATTAGAAACTATGCCCAATGTGTACCATGATTTCATAGTGTTAAATATTACGATTGTGCGAGTTTTGTTGACCACGGTTTTTATATAATCGAAACTTAAAGCACTTCCATTGTATTTTTTCTTCCGTAGTGATTACATTGCATTAAATTCAACAAAAAGTTGAAGTTCAAAAAAAAACGACTAAACAATTTGTTCGCACTCCTGTCAGTTTTCGTATGTACTCCGAACAATTTATTAATAGAGTGCGGTCACCCTACAACAAGTATTGAATTCACGTCGAAAGGAAACGGTAATTACAGTGTAGCATGAAATATTTTATGTTTAGCGGTATTTCTCGGACACATTCCACTAATGTGCTTCAATTGAATGATCAATTGAAGCTCATTAGTGGAATGTGTCCGGTACCAGCAACATAGGTAGCGTTGATGAACCTGCAGATCAACTCAACATCCGTACGTACTATAAATTGTATAACTAGACAATTCACACACAAAACAGGCAAAAAGACTTATTTGTTGAATCAGCTCTCCAGCAGCGATTATCATAAAAAAAGAAATTGAAATGTGCATCCTTAGTGGAGAGAATCCACAGGATTGCAAGATGGGTATTGCGTGGAGTTGCCTCTTTTTCGTCTAAAAAAGACCTTACTCATTTCTGCCGCCAAGCAGTAATGTGTTCCGGTTTTGAAGGGTAAGAGTGCTAGCGAAATTACAGGGACTTGTCAAGATGTCTCAGGATGACAGACGCAGTGGTAGTGCCCCTCAGATCTTTGCAATTTAAAGCTCTGAGAGGCACTAACCGTTATCAACAGGAGTATAGTTTGACACCAGGCGCACGACTTGTTCGTCCCGTCACTTTTTCAAAGAAAAAAGGTCTTTACTTCGAAATTAGTAATCAGTATGGAGTAATTTCACAAAAAAAATTAAATATCAATTCAATATTAATTTAAAATATTTTGTCGCTTTAAAATATTTTTATTTGTCGCTATTCACTGAAATCTCTCGCCAGGACTGGTAGCTGTAGAGGTACTAACTGGGTGATAAAACTTTCATAGATTTCGCATAGATGGCGCTACGACTAAAAAGTCGTTGAAAAAAACCAATTACAAAGATACGACGCAAGCACCTAGAAAAATTCGTGAAGTCCACTGGTTCGTGCCGTGGCTTAGTTAGTATAGCGTCTGTCACGGTAAGCTGGAAGACGTCGGTTCGCATCCGGCCGGATCGAAGGAATTTTTTCTGAGTGTTCGATCTTTGTATTAATAATTATAACAAACTAGTGGAGTAATTTCACAAAAAATAATTGAATATCAATTCAATAAAAACATTTAAACTAGTACACTAAACTTCTTTTCCATAAGTCCTTGTTGAGAATTTGGATTTGCAAAACCGGGGGAAAACTTTTTCTTCGATTGTAACACAGTTTTTATATTCTAGCCCTTCACGGCAAAAAGGCGAGGTGGCTCGAATTATGTGTCCGGGATTAAATATTAGTTATAGCAGAGACGTCTTACTAGACGTCGTCGGATCGAACCCGATCGGACAATCTTTGTTATTAATAATTATAACAAAATACTGGAACAATAATTGAATATCGTGGTAGTAAAACATATTGGCATTTAATAAAAACTTGAAAATTACAACAACCTACTTTTATAGATTTCAGGGTCAAAAAATCCCTGATTAATGCCAACCACGTTGAACCCCTTAGTTTTTATTATTTGTTGATAGGATTTTATAAGAACTGCTAATAAACTGTCAGTGTTTATTCAAACATCAAAAGCATCCAGGGATCAAGCACATTTTTACCAATTACTGAAAATCAGGTTTTTTAATTATTATTTTTTTAAACACCAATTGTTTTTCTTGGTCAATTTCGTAATTTAAAAAGTAAATAATAAGTCTCTTCTTTCTATCTTTACCTACGCTAGACGTGGTCGGCACAACATGTATTTTTCTTCCACTCTCATCATCACATTTCCACAGCCGTTATTTCCATACTCACACCTTTCTAACCCATATCATCTTTCACACAATCCATCCATCTTTTCTTTGGCCTTCCTTTCCCCTTATGTCCCACCACATTCAGACCTAACACTATTCCCGTCACATGATATTCTTCCCTCTGCATGGCGTGTCCATACCACGTAAGTAACTATATACATATAGGAAATGAAACTATTTTTCCGGATTTAAATCGCGCATATCTGTTTTTTCAAACAAACCAACATTTCGGGCCCTTTACAGGTCTCATGGTCACGGTTGAAATACACGCGATTTAAATCCGGAAAAATAGTTTCATTTCCTATGTGTAACAATCGCGAAAACCTAAGAACTCGATATAACTACATACATAACTATTTTTATTTAACTTTATTAAGGGTAATAAAATTTAAAAACAAATACCTAGACCTTCTTAGACACTTTGATGTGTAGTTACCAGCATAGACATTGCCGAAAAGTGAAATCCGTCTTCTCCTTAATACACACCTCGTGGCTTTATGGCGCTCCGCGTGTATTATCCCGTGATCTCGTATCAGGAAGCATAAATATATTTTCGTATACAATACATTTCCCCAAGGAAAGATGAGTTGGGTACGCTGTTCTTAGTGCCTACACAACTGAAGCATCGTACACAGGATATCCCCTCAAAGCGATGAGTTAGATATGCCTTTTTTTCTTTATAACATCAAGTGACGGGACAAACAAGGCGTACGCCTGATGGTAAGCTACACGCCTGTCCGAAACAGTTACAGTGCCACTCCGAGCTTTAAGATCTGAAGAGCACTACCACTGTGCCCGTCACCCTGAGACATAAATTGACAAGTCCCATATGCCCGTAATTTCATCAGCAGTCTTGTCCTTCAAAACCGGAACACAGCAATGCTGACATTACTGTTTGGGGCAGAAATAGGTAAGGTGGCAGTTCTACCCTGGATGAACTCTTTCACAAGGAGCTCTACTGCTTCTAATGCCTTTCCAACTATGTTATAAATTTAGCTATTAAAAACCGTATTTAGTGCATCCACTTGGGAATGAATTTAGGACGGCTTTTAGCTAGTAAAATCATAGTACTTCGCTCAAATAAAAAATCTTCAATCGTATCATGGACTATAATAACCCAAGGGGTTAATAACGGGGGACTGCTAAATGCGATACAAGATGGCGTAGTCGGGTATTTAGTACCAATTAGACCACCAGATGTCGCGACGAGTACCGAACAGCTATTTTTCTAACAAATTTGTTTCTTTTTTATAATAAGTGAAGGTACGAACAAATCAAGCGCCTGATGGCAAGCGATACATCTGTCCGTAACAGTTGCAGTGCCACTCAGAGCTTTAAATCACAAATATCTGAAGGACACTGCCACTTCGCCTGACAATCTGAGACATAAGTTGACAAGTACCATGTGCCTGTAATTTCACCAGCACCCTTACCCTTCAATACTGCAAAGCAGTAATGCTCACATTATTGTTTGGCAGCAGAAATAGGTAAGGTGTCAGTACTTCCCTGGACGAACTCTTTCACATGAAGGTCTAACTACGCTACTCTAAAGGCCATCCTCTCTAAGGATTGGAAATTAATCTCCAGTTGCTTGTTATTCATAGGTATATTTTAGTGAGAAAGGTGAATGATGCTTGTGCATTTTAATTAATAGAAACAGAAATTGCCATTCTAACATGAACTAAATAGCGCCATCTAGCAATTCTTAGCGTGTACTACGATGACGAAATCGATACCGCTGCAAGCGGTGTTGTTGGTAGTTATATAATGATCTACCAGATGATCTAATTTTTAATGATATAATGATCTGTTTAACATTGACAAGCTGCAATTTATTGTGATAACAAAGAAATCAACTAAATAGCTCTTATTACACAGAGTTATGTGGATAGTGTCGGCTATTCTTTTATTTTTTTAGGATTTACGCCATCTACCCCTGTTAGGAAACTTTAGTTTATAAATTAGTTTGTAACAATGGTAACCCACAATGCCATCTATGACACGCATATTTGTTAACTACTTTCAGGCTATCGATTAGCGCCATCTAGATTTTACTAGACGGAATTTTGACCTTTTTCAGAGTTACAAACTGTAGTATGTAGATTAGAAGTCATCTTGCGTTCTTGGTTCATGGTCGTATGTATAAATTAACGCTAACCAGCCGGCAGTGCAATGCTCTTGTGTGGTTCTTCTTGGAGTCTGAGAAATGTCAGTACATTTCTTGCCGTAGTACTTATTTTAATTCAATATAAAATGTTCAATGTAGGTAAATCATTGAATGTCGACAGAACGTCTTCTTGCATACCGTGCCAGACGCTATACCAACTAAGCCACGGAACGAACCAACGGACCTCACGAATTTTTCTATGTGCTTGCGTCGTGTCTTTCTACTTGGTCTTTCAACGACTTTTTAGTTGTAGCGCCATCTATGAGAAATCTATTACAGATGTATCACCCAGTTACTACCAATTGTTTGTTATTGTGTGGTCATCCGACTTTAAGCAATGAATTCCAATGGTACCTAATTTCAGCGTTATGAAAGCATCAAACGGTTATTGTTAAATGTCATAGTTCTATTCGGAAAGATCTTATTTCAATTATCCTTCAAACTTTAAACGGAAATAGTAAAATCCGATTTACGAAATACAATTTGCATCGAAACAGTCCGTTCCTTAAGGAAGGATGTACAATATCTTAAAGGGTTGACATTCTGTAGCGAAAGATTTTCTATATTTTTCCTATTTAATATATCAACATACACCAGTGGCGAGGCGTCCATGTGACTTGATTCCCACCGGTTTGCATAAAATTTACTACGTATGAAAAATATTTGTATGGTCTACATTTATTTATCTCCTGAGTTTGGGTGTAATTTGTGGTTATCCACGTGTGTGTCCATGGCATGGCCGCGGTACAAGGTTACCCTAATGTGGGCTATTTTAAAAAAATATGGTAGTAATACATTGTTTTTTAATTCCTCTATAGAGTAGTTAGCGAAAAGCGTACACCCGTGCACAACTGTGCAATGTATAGAATTAAAGTAATTGTTATTTACCGTAGCCGTACAGTCTTCTCCTATGCACTGTGAAAAGAGATATGACGATGATGAATAAAAAAAACATTGATAATTGAAATTAATACACAAGCCATTTGACATTTTTTAGAATTATTCCGTGTGCTTCGCGACATAATTATTACGTAAACTGTCATTCCTCCCGCACCGCGCACCTGCCTCAGGAACCGATTCAGTTAAGGCCTATTGTAAAGTGTTTTTCCGAAAAATGTAATTATGAAGATCGTGATCAAGATATTAATAAATAAATATTACACTTAAAATTAAATTAACACATTACCATTGCATTACATCCTGGTCCCTTGCACTGTTAACGATAAAATACGGATTATTTTAGTACATTGCGTATCAAGGGCGGTAAATAAGAAATTATGAAACGAGAGTCTTTTAGAAGCCCGAAACCTCACTCACTCACTTGTTATTTTTACCTCCTTTGTAATTTTTACCGCCCTAGCTACACTCGATGTTTTTCATCACATTTGCGAGGAAATATATACAATGATAATTTATTTCTTTTATAAATAAATATCGCTTCACAACACAACATTTACGGATTTTGCAAATCTGGGATTTTTTGTTTTATTTAAACACAATGTCAGCAATTCTTCTATATATAATACAACTTGAATTAAAGTATTATAAAAGGCACAGACGCGTGCAGTCACGACAAATGAGAATAAAATAAATAATTTCCGAATTCTAAAAATATTGTAGAGTTTGAACGTAGTTGAATTGCAAATGTTTTTTTTTTCTATACTTGAAGCTTATGCGAAATACATTCAGATTTTTTTTGAGCATAAAAACATTTTGCTTAATCTTTAAGAGTAGTACAGTATAAATAAAATTAAAAATGTATTACCGTTCGAGGACGGTAATGTACAGAAAAGATCCGTGAGCATAATTTAGGATACTATTGTCGACATTGCTTGCATAACATGACACTGTTTACGAGCAAATGCGATGGAAAATAATTAAAAAACTGATTTTGTATAATATACAAAGACTTGGAATTCAACCGTAAACATTCAAGCAAATTTGACCAAACTTACAATAGCTGCGCACACTTTTCCTATGCACTGAAATAAAAATAAATTAAATTATTGCTGTCTCTTTAACCGTTCATGTACAGTAATGACGTTTATCGTCAAATGAAATATCAGAATAAGATAGTACGCGTAATAGTTAGCGCAGGCCACACCGCAAATGAAGCTAGCTAACTCACTGTGCGATTTCCAAGTTCTCGCCTACTACTTCTCCATAGAGAAGTATTAACAACGTACTGACAAAATTTAGTGATTTACATAGAACATTTCATATTAAATCAATATAAGCTCTATAGAACAAAGAAACGTTGTGAGTAAAACGAGTAGATACACTGTTCATGAACGGGTTAATTAACCTCCAGGAACATCGTTACATTTGACAATATCAATTACATTGTTATATAAACATGAAGATCTTCAAAAAAAGATCATCGTCTTTTCGTCACGTCTCTTCTAAAAAGAGGGTTTAGATCACAGTCCACCATACTCACCTAATCGACTTAGAGACTTTACGTTTTTAGGGGTAGTGAACCTTATTTTGCGTGGTCTTAATCACGTGGTACTAATAAGTGCTATTGAACAAACTTAACCTTTAATATGTGAGCGGTAAAATTCATTTTAGTATGACTTCCTTATTGCATCATTAGTAATTAAATATAGAATACAAATTTCAACCATAAAGCTGAAATTCCTTTAGCACTATTCTTTAGAATGCGTAAGAAGGCTCTCAGAAACAAAAGGTCGGTTAAGGGAACAAGTATCTTATCGATTGTGCATTCGACACGGGGATTCGAACCGCCATCCCTCTCAACTGAGACATAACCATTCTCCCACAGATCTACCACCCTGAATTCATTTAAAAACAAAACGATTCACTGAAAAAATTGTTGCAAAAAGTAAGGAACATAAATTTACACGGAAAATAAATAAAAATCCAAGTTTTTTTACAAACAATAAATTATTAAACTGTCGATACTTTACCCCGGCACCGCATGTATCGCCCCGGCACTGAAACGCCATTTTAATTGAATATCCGTTTCCTTGATTTAAAAATGTTTTCGTTACGTTATATAAGGCTCTTCTAGCGTATCAGCGATATCGATTTCGATCAGTGATGAATCTTTCAGTGACATAACAGTAAAAGTAGAGCAACAATATGTACGGTGTATCCGTAATCTTATAAAATGATTACGACGGGTAAACGGGTAGACGACGGGTACGATAGTACGGTTAAAATATCGAGGATTTCTGAATCGGGGGACAGGTGGTACGCGACACGCCTGTCCAGTACCAGTTGCAGTGTCGTTCAGAGCTTTAGGCTAGATCAAATGATTTAGGTATTTACAGTTAATAACAGTCTTATAAAAATAAACGATACACCTAAGGATATTGTCTAAAGATTGTTGTCTATTATGTTACACGATAGGTTGTACTACAATCGATCATATAAAATCCCGTAAAGAGGCTAAAATAACAGCCTAAGGCTCAACTCACACTGGCGCAGGGACGAAGCGTCGCGACGCGTTTTGTTTTTCGCCTATAGCTTAATCATCTCTATTTTCCCATTGTTAAGGTACAAACGTTGAATTTAAATTGTAATGTCATCGCAATACTGTCTAATTTTGCTTGCTTCGCTGTCAGTCGAACAAACGAAGACTAAAGCTTGATTGACGCTCTGTATACTATTTTAAGGCCCTATAAGTTCGGACACTTTTAGCGCGGACCCGACGTCCATATAATTGTAAGTCAATGATATACATCCATAAATTTTACTTCACGTCACTGTTGACAACAATGTACATCAATTACAACCTTCAACGTTGTAATGAATTAATGGCGAAACTTGATGAGCGGACAAACGTCAAAACGACCATCATAGCGTGCCGGTATATTAGTTTGTAAATTACACAGTTGACACGACGTTCACTACGTTATACAATTTCGTTACAAAAATGCAAAGGTATTTAAAACACGCAAAACAGTTGTTGACGTCAATTTCTAAGAATGTTCTTGTCGCGGTTTCGGTTTGACTTTGTATGATCTTTACGTCATACCTAACACAGACACCACTCGATGCTGCACCGCAAAACCGCAAAGTATACAACGTACCATTTCGTAACTAACCGCGTCATGTGGCATACTCCGCGGCGTCGAGTGCGATCCCGCTTTATTAAAATTAAAATTTAACATTAAAACGTACCTCTGTATCACATGTATTACCGCGACACTGAAAAACAACATTTTAATCAAAAAGCAGTTTCTACATAGGAAAAAACCCACACAATGTTATGGACACAACTCATATTCACGTTTATATTTCACTCATTTGGTGCTACACTGACGCGATTGTATTTCTTGTAATGTTACAGGAAATGGATTGGAATTAATTTTTATTTAAAATTACTTCTATCCGACTGGATTCGAACCAACGTCTCCTAGCAAACAGTACCAGACGCTATGCCAAATAAGCGACGGAACGAACCAACGGACCTCACTAATTTATCCATGTCCTTGTTGCGGGTGTACTACGTGAGTGCGAATGCGAATTACGTGAATGACGATAGTGCGAAGACGGTTGCGCGAAAGCTTAAATGCGCGATAGTTGAATGAACAGTCGTCATTCGCGGAATCGGTATTCACACTCACGTAGCACACCCGCTTGTTGCAGATCTCCATTTTGGTTTTTAACGACTTTTTGCCGTAGCGCCATCTGTGAGAAATCTATGAAAGTTTTGCTTCACTCATCGAGGTACCTACCTTACAGCTACCAGCCGCTGACTAGAGATGTCACTTCAATAATAGTAATTAAGTTTTACTGAATGTCAGGACGTATCACCATAATGACATTCAATTATTTTTATAAAATTACTCCACTGGTTTGTTATAATTATTAAACAAAGATCCAACACTAAGAAAAAATCACATCGATCCTTCTGGATTCGATCTAACGTTTGGTAGCAAACCGTGCCAGACGCAGTGCTAACTAAGCTACGGAACTTGTTATATTATAGATGTGTAAATACTTAATTCAACTTTGCCAATTTTATTTCTATTATTATTACAATTACGTCCATGTTGCTCCAAATGAATGAAGTTATTTATACATAATTTTATTTAGTAGCACCCCGGTGGAGCAATGGTCGAGAGAGCATAAGTGTGTATTTCACCTCCATCTCACCTGATGAAAATTGATGATGAGGTCGGCGATGGAGCATACACACCCACACCTATCCACTCTCGCCTTGAAAAAGCCCTAATTATAGCATTCAGTGAACAAATCCGCAGGCAGAGAATTCTACTCCAACGCCATACGCCATACAAATGTGGAAGCGTATATACCACATAGCAGGTGTATAGAGCAGCTTTTGGGAAGCTCCGGGACGTCTTCTCGTTTGCAATGCCGCAGTCCTTGAAGACGCGAGCAGTGCGTGTTGCCAGCGATGACCTACGGCTCTGAAACGTGGTCACTTACTATGGGCCTCATAAAAAAGCTCAAAGTCAGTCAACGAGATATGGAGCGAGCTATGCTCGGCATTCTCTACGTGATGGACTCAGAAATGAGGAGATCCGTAGAAGAACGAAAGTCACCGACATAGCTCGAAGGATTAGCAAGTTGAAGTGGCAGTGGGCAGGGCACACAGCTCGTAGAACTGACGGCCGTTGGGGCAGAAAGGTTCTCGAATTGAGACACTAACCGGAAGGGCGTTCAATGGGACGACCCTCTGCTAGATGGACGTATGCCCTGGTAAGGGCGGCGGGTAACAGATGGACACACGTCGCGTCCAATCGGCTGGTCTGGAAATCTTTTGGAGGCCTATATTCAGCAGTGGACGTCTTCCGGCTGATATGACGATAATAATGATGAGTAGGTGTACAAATTACATAATCATCACAACTTACTCTAGCTTGACAACTTTCCTCTGAACACTGAAAATATAAGAGCAATTCATGTTTTACTAATACTCTTACACTTGATTTTAAAGTGAGTTTTGAACACAGTAATGATCTCATTAGACGACAGAAATAGGTATGGTAGCAGTACTTCCCTGGACGATCTCTTCCACAAGGAGCTTTACTAGACATTACTAAATGGAATGTTGATGAAACACATGTTGATGACGCTTAGGTGGCGGTAGAGTGCTCGAAAGGAGCCTCGCCGTACGACGTACAATTCCTTTCTCCCGTGGGTACGTCTAGCGCAGCTTCAGTAACAAATGGCAGGTGCCTTACGCCCATGGTAACCATGATGGCAAGCATCGTTACTATAAGAAGATGACGCTTTCTAAACTTACCTAGTCAGTAGAGCTCGTTGTGAAAGAGTTCGTCCAAGGAAGTGGCAGTAGCCACCTTACCTATTTCTGCTGCCAAGCAATAATGTCAGCATTACGGTTTTGAAGGGTAAGGGTGCTGGTGAAATTACAGGCACGTGAGACTTGTCAACTTATGTGAGTGACGGGCGCAATGGCAGTGTCCATCTTTTTTGCGATGTTAAGCTCTAAGAGGCATTGCAACTGTTATGGACTATTATGTAGCTTATCATCAAGCGCACGACTTGTTCGTCCCGTCATTTGATATTATAAAAAAAAGTCTAATTTACGAGACGACAAATCACAATCCTACAATCTCAAAGGTAGCGATGCAATCGCGCGTTGGTATCGATGCAGTTGCACGCTTGATCGCGTTTGCATCACTACTTAATCGCGCGTGTGTAAAGGTAGACGATTAGCGACAGCATCGCTACTGCAACGCGTTTGTATCGCTGCAGTCGCCGTGTGTAAACCCTTATAGGGCTAGTACGACAGGGGGCGACTTACACGAGAGCGACTTAAAGTGCGGAATCTCTATGCGAGAATAGCAGAACAGAAAAGCAGAGAAGCAATATGAAATCTTGCTATAATACCGAGTCTAGTCGAATCGATATAATCAGCTAGTACGATAGGAACGCAAAACCTACGTGTGTCAATCCGGACATCACAATCTATCTGAGATATCGCACTGCTAATAGAATAGTGTATTAACTCAAAATAGTGTATTAAATCTTTCAGAATAGCTGAAAAACCAGTTCCAGTGAAAGATTATTATAATTTATGTATAGGTTAAAATTTATTAGACGTCTAAACAACCCCTACTTGCTAAGTATATTTAAAAATAAAACTAAAAAATAATTTCATACTCTTGATTAAGGACTGTTTTGTCCAGAAGTAGCTCACAAAACGTTTGTCTCATTCTGGGTTAAGTAGATAAATATTTTAATGGTTTCTTACAATATTCTAACGACAATTTTATTGACGTGTAGAGAAACAAATGTTACGTTCAGAAACAGTATAGTCTTGAATTTCACATATTTTGAGTTACAACACTTTTGTAGTAGCAGTGCGATATGTGCGCAGTAGTCAATCTTTCCCCAGTTTACCTCCATTCTTACTCTGTAAAGGACAGTGCCCATTTCGGAATCGCAAGTGTTGAAATCGCGACCGATTGAAAATTCGTACCACACTGGTATAATTTTTTTTACGATACCGACGGGACGAACAAGTTGTCATGGTGGTTTAGTAAGGCCTATCCATAACAGTTAAAGTACCACTCAATGCTTTAAATCGCAAAAGTTTGTAAGGCACTACCACTGAGCCCGACATCCTGAGACATAATTAAGTTGATAAGTTCCATGTACCTGTGATTTCACCAGCACCCTTCGAAACCAGAACGCACTAATGTTCACATTACCGCTTGGCGGCAAAAATAAGTAAGGTGGCAGTACTTCACTTTCACGAGGTGCCTTAATGCTGCTTAATCTCACTATATCTTCTAAATATCAATGAATATTATTAAACTTTTCAAACCAGGTTGTTATTATTAAACGGGAGGGTACTTACAGATTCCGGATCGCCACTTGCCCCTAACGCCACTTCGAAGGCTAACCAGTCTTTCTTCTCCAGATTCTCGACTCTCACGCTCTTCAACATCGTGCGAATTGGATTGAACGATGTTTTCGGTATGTTGCTATTAGCGGTAGTATGTGTTGCCAGTTCTGGCATTGCACCTTGCTGGTAATTGAAAATTGGTGATTAATTTAACTTGTGTTGTTAGTAAGTCAACAATAGAGTGGAAAAACTCCAATACTGATATTACTTCATCTTTATTTCATAGGAAACGAAACTTTTTCAGGATTTAAATCGCGTATATTTGTTTTTTCAGTCAGCCCTGACCATGGGACCTGTAAAGCGCCCGAAACGTTGGTTTGTTTGAAAAAACAAATATACGCCACTTAAATCTGGAAAAATAGTTTCATTTCCTATATGTAACAATCGCGAAAACCTAAGCACTAGGTTTATTTCATATGTTAACAAATTAAACTTCAAATTGTCACATGGATTAAAATCTGCTACTCATTCGTAAGGCAGATTCCCCTGTAAGAAATGAATAAACTTTAGGAGTCGCTAGTTATTGTAAATAAACATTTATATACATTTATCATTTATAATATTAATTTCAAATATCATAAATCGAAACAACTAAAGATTTATGTCGTCGAAATACACACCATAATATATAATTTGAAACCTGTAAGTTTTTTGTTATAATATAATAACAAGAGACGTGACGAACAAGTCTTTGGTGGTAAGCGACATGCCTATCCATAATAGTTGCAGTGCCATTCAGAACTATAAATCGCAAAGATCTTATCGGCACTGCCACTGCACCTGTCACCCTGGGACATAAGTTGACAATTTCCATATGCCTGTAATTTCACCAGCACCCTTACCCTTCGAATCCGGAACGCAGGCAGAAATATGTAAGGTCGCAGGGCTTCCCTGGACGAACTCTTTCACCTGGAGCTGTACTGCTACTAGTACCACTGCTGGTAGTACAATAAAAATAATTTTGTGACAACCCTACGCTCCGAATGACGTATGGCATTGACACGCCAAACGGGCGGGAGTTGGACTACTTAATACTTGTGTGATTACACTGTGGCATTGACCAATGTAGTTAGTATATTGATGGTAAACATACTTACGCGTAAACCATAAATCACTCTTTTCGGATTGTAATCTGTGATGGGCACGTAAACAGTTCCCTGTTAAAAGGAATGTGTACTTAAATAATCAACGCAGACGTTCTTTCTTAGGTAGCAAGTGGCAATAGGCATTGCATTATCTTAATCTTCGTATTGCTCTTATCCCATCATTTGTGGTAGGCACTCACAAACACATTCATGTCTATCGTAATTCATTCGTTATTCACTTTCTCCTAATAATGTTCTAACAATGTTCTTATGAACCACTAGCCACATATACCAGGAAGGTTTCTTCATAGAGGATTCTCAACAAAGTACTGACAAAACTCAACGATTTACGCGCGCACATTTGTGGACGTTACACTTAGACATTATGACCACAAATTACTTAACAGTTACTACGTAACAGATACATCATTCTTATACAAAATCAAAAACACCTACGCTATAATAGCCTACTAAGTCTGACTTATGACACCAGTAGGGCTGCCACGGCAGAGAGCGACTTGCGCGAGAGCGACATAAAGCGCGAGATCCCTATGCGAGAATAGCATTATCTCGCGCTTTATGTCGCTCTCTCGCCTGTCGTGCTAGCCGTAACGTTTAATTTGAAAAAGGAATAACTTCAATATTTCTATCCATAGCAATTGCAATGCCCCTCGGTGCTTTAAATTGCAAATATCTGAGATCATTGCCACAGCATACGTCACCCTGAGCACCAGCACTCTTACCCTTCAAAACTGGAACGTATTGTAATGCTCACACTACTGCTTCGCGTCAGAAATAAGTAAGGTGGCAATACTTCCCTGAACGATTTCTTTCACAAAGAGCTTCTACTACTACTTAAATCAAATTAGATCATGTGTCTTTTGATGCCGATTGTGTTGCCAGTGATTCATGTGAACATTGTTACCATAATTCAACCATTTTGTTTAGCGTTCCCCTAGATTTTTTTTCCATAAATTACAGAAGTAAAGTAAACGTTTATTTCTCATCACAAACTATAGGTATGACAATAATAGTAATAACTAAACTAATGTAATTTAATTATAGTTTGTGAGGGAGCTGGAATCTAAACTAGGTCGAAACCTGTCATATAGCTTCCAGGCCCCCCACCATTATTAAAATGTGATATGTCCATTATTAAAACAAATTTAGGGAAAATGTCATAATTGTTGTTTCCCACCACCTAGGTAGCAATAGAACAGTCTCCATTCGCATTCCACTTAGGGACTCTTTAAAAAATAGATGCTCACGTGTTCAAGCGCTCGTGCGTTCACTGCATGCGCCTTCAAATGCTATACGCATGATTACTTTATACGTGCGTCTACGCAATGCTTTCGATTATATTTCCAAAAATGGTACAAAGTTTGATTATTTTTGACCGTAATTACCCTGTTACAGTTTTCGATGAGACTCTCTATGAGTACGATTAATTAAAAACGGTAAAGTAATTAAGACTAACTGCTGTTAACTTACATTCACTTCAAACTGCTTATTCTGTCCAGTCATAGGGTCCTGCAAAAACAAAACTTATGACGATCAACTAAACCGTTTAAAATGCAAATGTGTAAATTTATCCACTCTACGCATCTCTGCGCTTCCTTCTAAAAACGGTCCCGTCCTAATTCGAAGCATCATGTTTTCAAATATTTGGAATGCGATGCCGTTTATTGTATACATACATTACCTTATTGTTCTTGAACAACATAATGTCTGAACATTGCATATTATATTAAATTATTATTAATTGAAAGGATTGCGTACCGTAACCTTCGCTAAGCCATCTGAAGTGTCATTCTGAAAAAAATAAACAATAAAAATTATGGATCAATAATTCACGAGCATCAAATAGCTGTTTTTGTAACTAATTTGTTTTACATTGACGAGCTGCAATTTATCAATACTACTCTAATTTCTAATGATAATAAACAAATCAACTAGATGGCGCTTATTGCATACATTTTTATTGATACTGCCGGCAATTTTTTTGTTTATGATTAGCGCCATCTATCCATGTTAGCAAGCGTGTAACACACAATGACATCTATGGATACGCAATATTTATTAATGTTCAGAAAATAATTCTATGTCATGATCAATATTTGAATAATATTACAAAGAAAAATAACACATATTTCATGTTAAAATTGTTTTATATAAAAAGCCGTGGTTTACTTTGGCGTTACTTTACACCACTATAGTACCATACGGGACTGTAGTGGTGTAAAGTAACGCCTCACCCTGGAAAGGATGCCAAGCTTTCTTGCTGCATTTTTGGCCATGGATTCAATATATCCGCCGAAGTTCAAATTGGACGACAGGCCCAGTCCAAGCAGCTGAAGACAGTCGGCTATCGGTATGGCCCTGACCCTTGCACTGGTCAAGTACCTATCTACAACTGTGCTGTCATCAGCATACGCAAAGGTACCTGAAATTAACATATCATTGATATGCAGCAAAAAAGGAGTTGCAGACACTACGGAACCCTGAGGAACTCCATCGCTATAAGTTCGGAAGAATAGCCTTCTAAGACTACACGAATCGAACGTTCACTCAAGAAATCCGAGATCCAATTGCAAAGGTCAGTGGGAAGTTCATAAGAGGGAAGCTTACTTAAAAGTCTTGCGTGTCAGGCCCTGTCAAAGGCTTTAGAAATGTCCAAAGACACTGCAAGTGCTTCGCCTTGCTTTTCTATAGCCTTGCTCTGTATGTGACAGGCACATCCAAGAAGATCCCCAGTAGATCGCCCTTGTCGTAATCCATACTGGCGATCACTGAGGAGGTCGTTGTCTTCAAGGTACGACAGGAGACGGTTATTGAGTACACGTTCCATAGTCTTGCACAGTATGGAAGTGACTGAGATAGGTCTGTAGTTGACAGGGTCAGCTCTGCTTCCTTTTTTAGGCACATGTTGCACGTTTGCAAGCTTCCACGACCTGAGAACTACACCACTCTCAAGTGAAAGGCGGTAAAGGACTGTGTGGGGCTAATTTAACGAACAAAAAATACCATTACAGTGCTTCTAGAAGTCTTTTATATGAAGGCGCCATAAGTGGGTTTAAAGTCGTTAAAACTGAAAAATCTTTAAAAACTACGAGCATTGCAAGTCCATTATCATAAAACTGACGAGGTTCTCAACATTACTCTTTCACTTAGGCTGCTCACTCACTGCTTTTATTTGGGCTGTTGGTACAAAGCTCCTTTTATGTATTACTTGTAGACGACGTAGACATATTAAACAAAACTATTTACAATGACAAAACAACATACGAACCGAATCGACTTTAACCCAACGTATTGGTGCTCCAAAATCATCCTGAAATAGTAAGTAGTAGTAAAGAAATTTATGATGCATTTATAGACGTCAACGTTGCTATTTAAAATAAATTTAAAAGTCTACGTTGTTTTAGAAAACAATCGCATGATTTCTGCCATCCTTATCATAACTAACGTAATCGACATTTTTAGCTAAATTAAAATATTTACACATCTAGAACTAGCGAAATGGGATTTACCATCCCTTGCAACTGTTTTTTTTATATCTTATTTAATTCCAGTTTTACTATTGAGCAAAATTAACATAATTTACGTTTGTCAAATAAAAATAACTATAGGTGCCAATATCCCATTCATTTTAATAGCAGTAGAGCTCCTTGTGAAAGTGTTTGTCCAGGGAAGTACTGCCACCTTACCTATTTTATTATTGTGTCAACATTATTGTGTTCCAGAAGACTAAGAGTGCTAGTGAAATTATAGGCACATGGGATATGTCAACTTATGTCTCAGGGTTGCGATTTAAAGCTCTGAGTGGCACTGCCACTGTTATGGATAAACGTGTAGCTTCAAATAAAAAATCTCAAAAGGTACAAAAACGCAAATCGATGCATTCAGGAGATGGAAAAACTTCCTATTTACTTTAAATTTCTTATCAAGGGAATTAATTTGGGCATTACCTTAAGAATAGATAAAAGCTAGTGTGTGAATGTGAAGGAAATATGATGTGAAATCAGCCTGCAAAATTTGTATGTACAATCCATTTTTTTGCATTTCAGTAACTTTGTCTTTTATTATACGAGTATGAGAAAATAAAGCGACAAAATGGGTTAGGTAAGGGCAAACCTGTCCAAGAGTCTATGATGATTTCATACGCCTATTGTATGTACACACATTTGGTAAAGGGGAAATACGCTGCGTTACTTACTTCATGGGGTATTTGAACTTGCTTCACTTCTTGCGGAGTATATGTGGGTTCGAAGACGTCGTTGTGGTGCTTAATAAAAAAAAAGTTAAAAGAGTTAGGTCACAAATTCGCAACGGCGTGTACAATTGTGCGCGTTTTAAAAACGTGTTTAAAAATGGTATAATATTATTTCATCCTCTAAGGTAACCTCTGTTGTAAATGTGCTCTTTATTAAATAAACGATTTTTTTACGTTTGATATTTATATTAACTGTTCCGTCTATATTAATAGACCTACGGATAAATTATAACTGCATTCAAGGTAACACTATCAATATGTTTAAGCATACCAAATTAATATTTGACAGTCAAAAATAATATTTGATTCTCTTTTTCCATGTAGGTTAGGTTAGGTTGGTTAGCATATTGTTATGAAAAAGCAGCACCAATGCCGCGGCAGCGGCCGGCGACTGCCAGAAGCGAATTTGCTTGCGTTTCTGAACATGATTTTAAGGTTTTTAATGCTTATTTGTCTTAGTTTTGAAGCTCTACAAGAAACTATCAAAGTTAATTTATTTATTCCAAATCAAACATTACCTCAGAACAGATTAAAATTACATTGATTTAATTTATTTTATGTCTCAGAGAAAAAGGATCAATCATTAAAAAAGATGACGCTTTACATTTTTTGCCTGCTGTTCGATCGTTTAAATAGATGCCTTTAAAATTATAAGTCGAACTTACTGTCTGTCTGTCCCATGAACCTCTTAAATCTGATAAAACTGACTGAAATGTTAAAAAAAATATTTATTATTCAGTGACAATCAGTTTCTGGATTTTCGATAGACAAACACAACACACACACACAAACAACACACTGTAACAGCGACCCTACTCTCGAAACATGAAATCCGTAATTAAGGATGTTTTCCTATGGATGACCTGCGAAACTACTCTCGAAGTCCGTCAACGAAAAGAATCCGAGGCGGCCAGTTGGTATTTAGCAGAGCCATCCCATAAGTGTCTGAGTGTAAGTGTATTGTCATTTATTGGTGATGAACAATTACATCATAAGAAAGATTCAAACCAGTCTTCGAAGATATGATATCACCAAGTTAATAGGCTGCCACAATGCTTCAATTACCGATTAATTTTAGGAGTTACGTGTGAGTAACATCGATTCTCGAAATCTGATCGTTTCCATAATTGATTCGTAAAATTTGAATTGTGACATTCAAGTTAAGCTAAATTTTACGAAGAAAGATTAAAAGAATTACATCAGGAGCTAATTCTTGCATCTTTTTAAGTTGTGCTCTCGCTTCTTCCATTGACGCATCTTCCTAAAAAAAAATAATAAAATGTCTAAATGGGATTTTTAACAAAAATTATAGTGAAGAATTTTTACTATCAAATCTAGTAACGCATTTTTTTTCACAATTGATTCAAAGTACCGGCACGCTATGATGGCCGTTTTGAAAAATTAGAATATTGATGTGAAAACTCAATTCATTATCGAAAAAAATATAACCAAATGCGAGTCGCATCTATAAGTTTTTGTTTTTATTTATAACTAGTACAGTAAGGGGTAGCTGATTAAAAAGTTTTAATATAATCTCAGTGCAGAGTATTAAAAAAACCGACCTCAAAAGTACGTGGAATTACGTCTATTTGCTAAGTTTTATTAAAATATCCCCTTGTTCGCCACTATACAGGACTTGACACTGGAGATAAAAATAATCGGTTCTCACTACTCAAAGTATATTGAGAGAAAACGCCTTGAATTGGAGAAATAGCAAAATCAACCATTAAAATAATTGCTCCTAAATTAAAGTTAGGCGCTATTTATAAAAATGAACCTTCATGTGTGAACAGCCACCCCTAAAGGTGATTGATTTTCTTAAAAATGAAATGGGACCACTATGGAAGTACCCCCTTTCCAACAAAAAAAGAGCCTGAAAATCGGTTCACAAATACCGGAGTTATCGCGTAACATACATACAAAAAAAAAGAACATACAGTCGAATTGAGAACCTCCTCCTTTTTTAAGTCGGTTAAAAACGAAAATAAAAACGTGTCCAGCGATCCCGTAAGTGACGATCGTATTAGATTTCATTTGTAAAGATTTCGAATTTCGAGAAACAAATGCCGAGTTGTGTCGTAAAATTATACATTAATTTTACAGCACGTCATAATTGAGAATAATGTACAGTAATTAGCTCCGTCAACGTAGGAAATATTACGAAACTTACAAACGAAGCGGACAAATGTCAAAACGGCCATCATAGCGACCAGTACCATAGGAATTGTTTTATGACAAGCAATACCTTGTTTTGTACAAAATGAAATAACCTTCAAACTTATTACATAGTTTGACTCGAGCAAAGATTATAATGTAATATTAGGTTTATTAAATGTCACGATGCTGTGCTACCGTGGTATTCAATTATTTTTGGAAAGTTACTCCACTAGTTTGTTATCACTCATAGATTTCTCACTGATGGTCCTCGGCAAAAAAAGTCGTTAAAACCAAAAGAACTGCAACAAGCACGTAGAGAGAAAGTCGTAAGGTTCGCTGGTTCGTCTGTAAGGTCATTGGTTCGATTACAGCCAGATCGAGGGGAACCTATCACAAAGTCGAAAATTTTTTGTCCGAAATAACGTTCGGTCGAATTTTCATAACACCGAAAACCGAATTATAACGAAACATTTGTACTTTCAGAATATTTTGAATTTTTATCGCAACTACATGATTACGTTCGGTTAGGTCAGGTTAAGGATAAACCAGATCGAAGAATTCTTTCTCTGTGTTCCATCTTTGTATTAACAATTAAAGATTATGTATTTGACTCAACTTGTTTATCGTAATTTTATAGACTACATTGAAAATAAAGTAATTTTTCAAAATCACATATATTTGTTTTTTCAAAGAAATTTAACTTTCGGACTCTTTACAAGTCCCATGGTGACAAAGATGGTAAAGTCGTCTACCAGTTATGGCTAATATTATGATAAAGAAAAATTGTTTCATAACCAAAATCACAAATCACAAAAGTCTAGAAACTCAAACTATAGAGTATTAGGTATGGGCTACATTATTAGTTTTGCGAAATTGCAATGAATGGACACTACCTTAGCCTGTTCTTCTACATGTACTTTTTCTTTTTCCTGTATCTGCTGCCGTAGTGCGTCTGGTCGGTGTTCATATCGATGTGCCATACTCTGTTGTGCCATACTCTCCTGTGCCATGATCTGCTGCGCCTTACTTTGTTGTGCCATACCCTGTTGTGCCACACGCTGCTGGGCCATACGCTGCTGCGCCATTCTTTGCGCCAGTTGATGTTTCTGTAGTAAGGGAAGAGGCACTTCCTTCCTATCTGCTTCAGGTGGTAATGGAGACTGGAAAATTAAAGTACCACATCATAATATATCTGTTAAGTACAATCAGTCGAAATTTAAAGAAGACACGGCGAAAATGTTTATTCGTTACGCTCATTTATAAGGGTTGCTTGGAAAAATAAAAATAAATCTTTTAAAGAATGTTGGTAAACCATCCAAGGTATTGACGAAGGGGATGACGATGCTGAGTCTTTAGAAGCTGCTGAAGGAAAATATCTTCATACTTTATCGCTTTCTGACACGCCCACAGCATAAAAGTTTCAAGAAAATATAAATTCAATTTGTTAACTTGTGAAAGACCTTATTTTTATGACACCAAGTGACGAATGCCACTTAGTTTGACCAATACCGTGCCCGTCACCCGTCACCCTAAGGCTGCTGATAGATTGACTGTATGTTTGCAGTTAAAGCGTGTGTCGTGATCAACTTCATGTAGCTGAGACCACAACTGCAAGAAGGTGATAATGATTTCACGCATTAACCAGATGCAGTTGAGGTCTCGGATAACGATTTCACGCATTAACTTCATGCAGTTAAAACTTGAAACCGACTTAATGCAGCCGAGATCGACTGCATAAGTAAAGTTGTTATCAGCTTCATGCAGTCGATGTCTCGGCTCCGACGATCAGTTAGCAGCCTAAGACATATCATTAAGTTGAGTAATTTCACCAGCACTCTTATCCTTCAAAACCGGAACACCGTAATGCTCACATTACCGCTTGGTGGCAGAAATTGATAAGGTGGCAGTGCTTCCCTCGACTAACTCTACAAAGAGCCTTACTGCCACTCTAACGGCCGTCCTTTCAAAAGATTGGAAATTAATCCTCAGTTGCTTGTTATTCATAGGTAGGTATATTTTACTGAGGCAGGAGAATGATGCATCATGTTCATTTTAATTGACAGAAAAAGGAACCGCACTCTGGACGGTTACAATATGAACTTAGTAGCGCCATCTAGCAAACCTTAGCGTGCACTGCTATGACGAAATCTATACCTCGACAAGCTATTTTTTTGTAGTTATATAATGATCTACCAGATTTCGCTACCGACACAATTTAAAGAAAACTTAGTCAACAAATATGCAAGGCTAAAAAGGTATACAAACTCGCTTCTTATAAAAGCGTTCGTCCAGAGAAACACTGCCACTTTACCTATTTGTACCGCCAAAGAGTAATAATGTGAGTTAATTATGCAGTCCAGTTTTAAGAGGTAAGAAGGATGCCAGTGAAAGTGCAAACACATGAGACTTGTAAATGTTTAGTCTCAGAGTGAATGAGAGGTACAGTGGCAATGCACTTTTTTGATTGTTTTGGATTGCAATGACCAATATTATTTTCTTTGGCGTATAGGAAAACACTAGGCAAAATTCGTATGTTTCGCGTCAAACTTGCTCAATGCTCGGCATTAGACTCGTATACGGAGTTCCGAACGTTTAAGATCCGATGACGGATGAAAGTGCAGGATGCTGGAACTCAAATGGAATTAGGCGGGTCGCATAGCAAGGTGGGGCCATGACAGATGGAGAAAGAAGTCGACTGATTGGTGGCTGAGGATGGGCAGAAGAAACTTCAGGCGCCCAATTGCAAGGTGGGTCGACAACATAGCACGCGTCGCGGGGTGTCAATGGAAGCGGCTAGCACAGGACCGTGGTGGATGGCACAAACTTCGGGAGCCCTATACCCAGCAGTGGATGACATCAGGATGTGGATGAACTTACATGCAAAGAAGAAGAGCGTGTTTTAATTGTCGTTGTTGAGCGAAACGTTACCCGCATTTTTTTGTACTCTGTCCATCTCGAGTACCAGGAGCGCATAGATTCACAAAAGTAAATACCTAAGTACACTTACGTACTGCCCGGTTCGTCCAATTCCCCTCATTGGTCTCTGAGGTAGCTCATAATATGGCTCCGGTTTCTGATTTTCGCGTTGTTCATACTGTAATATTAATTAGAGATTAACTTACCTTTGAACCCGGAAATGATCGCTTTACTATTGATTTTGGTGTCAATGTTCATTTTATCTATAGAGAAAACATCGCATCCTTAGTGTATAAATAAGGTCACGTTTGCAAAATGACAACTTTTGAGGGGAGAGGTTTAAGATTCTACGAACGAAATTAATCGATACCATTTTTATGCTCAAACTTTTTTATTATTATGTAGGCAACAAACAAGCATACGGTCCGCCCGATGGAAAGTGGTCACCGTCACCTCTGAACGCCTGTAACACCAGGTGCAGTGTGTCACGAACGCGTTGCCAACCCTTCAGGACCCCTCTGAAACCCCTTTTGAAGAATTCCATGCTGTATTCCTGTGGAAAAACCCCGACAGGGAGTGCATTCCACAACCTAATTGTACGTTGGAGGAAGCTTCTTTCAAACCGTACAGCACGAGATCGATTCGGTTCCCAGAGAGTGAGGATGGACTTTCCTGCCGGTGGCGAGTGGTGCGATGATACAATATTGCTGTTGGCATCATGCCAAACAGTTCTTCAAAATATTGGCCATTGTACAGGCGATAGAACATACAAAGGGAGGCAAAGTCTCTCCTCGAAAACAGTGGTTCAATATCGTCTGTAAGCACAAGATCGTCAACAATTCTCATAGCACGTATTTGAACCGCGTCAAAAGGTCCAAGCTGGCATCCGGGAGCCCCCGTCAAAAATGACAGCAGCGTTAAGTAGCAGGCTGTCTGTAGAGCACACTGAGCTTTTTGGACGGATTTAGTTCTGTATGAAAAGTACCAAGAATTCATAAATTTCAGGACGTGCAGCAAAACATATGTTTGCGACCTGTTTTTTTATGTGTATTTATTGCTATACCAGGGGTGTAATGTTCTTTGAAATTTCATAACCTACCGTGCTTTTAAAAATATAAATAATAAGTATTAGACAACATCACGTACATTGCTCCGATTCCAAAGTAAGTAACTTGAGCACTTGTGTTGTGGAAATCGGAAACACCGACGGTACTATAAACACCCACACGCAATATAGAAAAGTTAGTTCTCTACACTGACCCGGCTAGGGGACCGAATGCGAAACATCAGAGATGACGGCTCCTTGAAAACCGGTGTGCAAGCCACTCGACCACAGAGACAGTCATTTAAAATATATGATAGGTCAAAATCATCTGATATCAAAGTTTTTTTTTACTTTATATTTTCTAATGCTATTAAAAGTCAAATCTGCATTATGAATGCAGATTTAACTTTTGCTATAAAAAAAAATCATTAATTTCAATTGGTTACAATAAATCCCAAATATAATAACAAAGATATCCCAAATAAAATAATGACGAAAATTGACAAGTTCAACTCAACACAGTGGGAAAGTTTTTGTTTGTTTTTAATATAATTATCGCGTCATTCACATTTTAATTAATAATAAATTATGAAAAACATTAATTATAATAATTCTTACTCTGTCTCCATTGACTTCATCGAAATTATCCATTCTATGCTGTAAAATTTAACAAAAAAACAATCTAACTAACTTTTGTTAGTTCTCTACTCTCTCAGAGATGGCGACACGATGAAAATCGGTGTGCAAGCCACAAGACCACAGAACAATCTACTCCACCGACTTAATTTATATTTACCGAAAAATATTTATAGTAATAGCGATTTTATGCAATACATTTCTTATGCTTGGTGCTTGCCAAACTATTTATTCATCATACGGAAATATTATTATGAGAACCATCATATTCTGAAAAAAAAACTTGTAAAATATATTGAAAAAAAGTCTTAAAATGGCTTAATTTAACACTAATAATAATATTTTAGTTATTGTCGTCACAATTACGAACCGTATAATTATGTACGTTAATTATGAAAACATTCAAACATTTAATTAATTAAATTAACTTAATTATACGGAGTGTAATTATGTTGACAGTAACCGTTTTCAAATGTACTGTCATAAAATCCACATTACTCCACAAGGTAACCACGTAGCCATCACGCAATTTGAAAATACAATTTGAAAGAATATTCACGGATTTAGTATTATTATATATATAATATAGATTTAATATTATTTTAAACTCTCGCCTCTCCCAAGGCCTAAAAAGATTAATTTTGAATTTTTAAATGGCAGAGGCGGTATTTCCCCTCCGGAGCCTGCATTGCACGGCCTCACTCGTCTGGGGGGCGGGTCGGAGGACAACCGACTCGCCCCTCCGTTGGCGCGGGAGCCCTGGCGTAAGCTAGGGCAGCCGGGCGGCGTCGTGGTGAATGTTCACTGATCCCACGGCGCCGACTCAACCGGCAAGAGGGAAACCCGGGGGGGTTTTAGTGGGGTAGGCCCTCCAGTCTGGAGGGAGAGTCCCCACATAACCCCTGAGTCTCCCTGGGCTCAGGGGTATCCATAAAGATTTCCCCCCGTCAAAAAAAAAAAAAAAAGGGGCGGTATTTCCCGGCAATGGCATAGTCGGCCGGGAACAGGGACTCAGGTCGCCTTCAGCATTTGTGCTGGAAGCGACACGCCACAGAAATAGTGAGTTGAAAAACAACTTTGTAAAACTTCTGATATTCATACTAATTGTCCAAGGATGCTGAGTGAGAATTTTGGAAAAATCACAAATTCTCATTTAACTGAATTTAAGAAATCCTTTTTCCGTTTCGATTTTTTTTTAATTCTATAAATTTCACAAACGAGGCGTGCTGAGTACAAACCATAATTTCGGCGATTAGAAAATGTAAGAAGTTATCGTTATACGTAAACAATGGCCAACGGCTTATATGTGAAGTACACAAATAGTTTTGAAATAGAGTGACCAAATTTTCGTACCTACTGCAAAGAACAGGAAATAAGCAAGAGTTCACATGTATTATTATAATTATAAGTATCATATTCCGTTAAGGTACTGCAAGGTTTATCAATTTGAAAGGGGATCTTATGATTACTTACATTGCAAAAGGAAACTTGCTTATTTTACTTACAAAAATTACGACAATTGGAAATTACATCTCCGTTTTTTAACACGTTCATTGCCAAGCTAAAAATTGGAATTTCATTTGATGCCCAAATTTTTATGTTTTAGTTTTAATTGTGCACAAAATAAGTAAGTATATTATTTATATATACTTTTACTATTATTATTTTAGGAGTTATATAGTTAAATATTTATCACGCGATATGGTATGATTGCATTCGTTATTGCCCATATGGCCAGAAATGCGATATCGCGTGACGAGACCAACATGTCATGCGCTTGGTGGTAAGCGACACGCCTGTCCATAACAATTGCTGTACCACTCACAGTTTTAAATCGCAATAATCAGAGGGGCACTGTCACTGCGCCTGTGCTTGTAATTCCACCTGCACCCTTATCCTTCAATACCGGAACGAAGTAATGCTCACATTATTGCATGGCAGCAGATATAAGTAAGGTGACGGTACTTCCCTGGACGAACTCTTTTGCAAGGAAGTCTATTGCTACAACATTTTGGACAAATTACCGCAAAATCCAACCCAGTCCATTTTCAAAAAGCGAATTCCATTTGTATTTTGAAAGGACATAATCCTTGAAAGCTCAAAACAAATTTGTTTTTAAATAAAATAATAAGAAATATATTTTTTGAGATATTTTTTGTGCAATAAGTCCACTAGTTTTCTTACGATTATGATTACAAACATCGAACACACACACACAGAGAAAAATTTCGTCGACCCGGTGGGCCTTGAACCCACGTCCATGCTGCACCGTAGCATTGCTCTTACCAACTGAGCCAGTTACCGAGAAATTCTCCTGTGTGTTTTTATTACAATCTTTGTACTGACTTTTCGGCATTCGTCGCCGCTAGTGACATCTTGTGAGAGATTTTTGAGTAACATTCTCACCGCAGCCGACACCTTTACAAGTATCACAATTGACAAGTACTACTGACAAGTACTTCACACCGGGACAGTTGCTTCAGCTGTACCAAGCACAAGTCCGGTCGTGTATGGAGTACTGCTGCCATTTATGGGATGGCTCTGCTAAATACCAACTGATCACCTTGGATTCAACAGACAAGCGTACTAAGAGGCTTATAGGTGACTCGGAATTTGTAGAGGCGAAGCTGCAGAGCCTTGAACACCGCCGTAGAGTTGCCAGCTTATCGGTATTCTCCAAGATATATCACGGAGAGTGTGCGATGGAATTGCATAATTTGATTCCGCCTTACCCTTTCCATCATCGGGTAACTAGACGTGGACTGGGGTTCCACCCCTATGGTGTGGATGTTCCCCGGATTCTCACGAAGTGTTTCGCTTCCACATTTGTATGGCGAGCGGCTAGGGAGTGGAATTCCTTGCCTGCAGACTTATTCCCCGAATGCTATAACTTGGGCCTTTTCAATGCGAGAGTGAATAGATATTATTTAGGTGTGCATGCTACATCCTCGACCTCATCGGCACTTTCCATCAGGTGAGATGGAGGTCAAATGTGCACTTATTTTTTATAAAAAAAAACTGACGCAGATGTCACTTTTCGATCAAATGTATTTATTGATGTTTTTTTTTGTTAAATAACTCCACTAGTTTTGTTATGATGATGAATACAAACATCGAACACACAAAAAAATCACTAGAATTTCGACGACTCGGTAACTGGACCAGTGGCTCAGATGGTTAGAGCAATGCTACGGTGCAGCAAGGACGTGGGTTCAAGTCCCACCGGGTCGACGAAAAAGAAATTATGTATGTTCGATCTTTGTATTCACAATCATATTAAATAATTGCTATAGTCTAGCTTGACACTTATAACTTTGGATCATTCTTATTACAAGTGGCGTAAAGTAGATATTAAATCATAAAAGTCAAGATTAAAGTTAAACTGCCTCTGTGGCCTAACGGTTACCATGCCGGACTGCCACGCAGAGGTCCCAGGTTCGATTCCCGGGCCGGTAGAAATAGTTGTATGGCCTACAATTATTTCTCTCGTGAGTTTGGATGTAATTTGTGGTTGTCTATGTGTGTGTCCATGGCACCCGCGACACAGGGTTTCCCTAGTGCGGGGCTATGTTGAGTGTGTGCGTTATTTATTATTATTATTTATTATTATTATTAAAGTGCTCATAACTCTGTAGCAAAACAAATACACGAACAAACATGCGAACAAGTCGTACACCTGATAGTAAGTTACACGCCTGTCCATAACAATTGCAGTGCCACTCAGAGCTTTAAACCGGAAAGATCTGAGGGGTACTGCCACTGCGTCAGTCCCTTTGATACATTAGTTGACAAGTCTCATGTGCCTGTAATTTCACCAGCACCCTTATCCTTCAAAACCGGAACACAATAATGCTGACATTACTGCTTAGCAGCAGAAATAGGTAACGTAGCAGTACTTAGGGACGTAAAGCTTGTGAAAGACTTCGTTCTCCTAGACGAACTAGCTCTACGGCTGCTGAAACTTTAAAGTAATAAACGCACTTTTGACTTATGGTCGCATGGGACTTTATTATTCAAGGGTACCAATTAAGAGTTTAATTTAAAGCCGCCCTTCGTACCTACCTAATACAACCATTAAGATGAGTCCACTGATATGGGCATTAGTATATTGTTTAATAGTAATACGTAAGTCATTAACAGAACAAATGACTAGCTAATCGATCGTATGAATCATCAAGACACGTCACGACACAATTCAAACTCACAAGGAACTCTACTGCGTGTAAACTATTTCATTTACAGATATGTTAATATGAACAAAAATAAGTTGATTTTGTTTTCTCTTCATGTATTTAGACTAAAGCTGAACAAACTACTACTACAAAACAAAAAACCAAAGAAGTGGAATAGAACTGGCGAAATACCGCTTGTTCTGTTATTTTATCTTAGACTATGGATTTTATACCAATCATTTTTGTTATAAAGATTGCAAGACTTTTAGGCCAATTTAACCAATCAGGAGGCAGCATAGCATTTAAGTAGCGTTTAAAAGGTCCTTTTTTTAAACTCATTATAGTTCAAGGATTTTTTTACACAAAAAGAAACAGAAGTCCCAATTTTGGTCCAGAAAACCTTTATGTAAGTAACACCTTTTCCGCCCAGAAAACGACATTATTATTACTTGCTTTTATTATTACTGTTGAGTGTCGACAGAGTGTGAAAGCATTTTGTACGTTTAGTATTCTGCTAAAAGTTAAGAGTCGTCAGTGGCTAGCCGTCGCGCTACTTTTCGCTGCCTTTACATTTTTTTGGTATTCTGCTCTTTAATGGCGAGTCGATGGCGCGTTATTGGCGTAATCTACTAATTATTTGACACAATAATTGTAACTTTTTACAAAAAACCTATTTGCCTTTTTTCATTGAAATTGGTTACCAGAAAATGCGTGAAACCGGACTCGTTCCCTAGTTTGCCACACTTAGAAGTGGAATAATTCCGTCAAATTTAAATGGTACCGATATTGAGGTCCTCCGTTTTTTGAAGTCAGTTAATTTGAATACTAAATTGCTGCTTAAAAGGCATA